ATTTTAATGCATTCTTTTATAATGTTTATTCTTTAATGAAAGTACTTTTCGTGGACCTTTTTTTTTTCTGTTTTCCCAATGCTTTTGTTTGTTTTAGGTTTTATGTCTTTCCTAAGCATATTATTTTGTTTATTCATATTAAGCATCATGTGTTTTATCCATTTATTTTTTTCAGCTTTATAAAAGGTGTAGTTGACAAAAGTGTTTTTTGTCCATTTAACTTGCCAGTTGGCAGAATGATTTTTAATCTAGTTATTCAAAATCCTCTACTCTGCCACATTTGGTGTTATCAGTAGACTGGGTTCTCATTATCTTGTTATTAATCAAATGTCTTTAAAGTAGTGAAAGGGCCTCTTGCATCTTTTGTTCCTCTTGGATTCTGTTGCTTATCGTGTCACTTTTTCGTTGGCTTTCTTAGAGGATTCATCAGTGATGCTTCAAAATATACAGGGTATTTTACTTACTTGTGTGTTTTTTTTTATGTAGAGAGAAAGAAGAATCCGTTCAGCTTCATCAGGAAGCTTGGGAACGCCATCAGTTAAGGAAGGAATTTCGTAGCAAAAACCAAAATGCTCCAGATAACCGGCCAGAGGAAAATTTCTTTAGCCGACTAGACTCAAGTTTGAAGAAAAATACCGCTTTTGTCAAGAAGTTAAAAACTATTACGGAACAACAGAGAGACTCCTTGTCCCATGATTTTAATGGCCTAAATTTAAGCAAATACATTGCAGAGGCTGTAGCTTCTATTGTGGAAGCGAAGCTGAAAATCTCTGATGTGAATTGTGCTGTGCACTTATGCTCTCTCTTTCACCAGCGCTACGCCGACTTCGCCCCATCACTTCTTCAGGTTTGGAAAAAACATTTTGAAGCAAGGAAAGAAGAGAAAACACCTAACATTACCAAGTTAAGAACCGATTTGCGTTTCATTGCAGAGTTGACAATAGTTGGGATTTTCACTGACAAGGAAGGTCTTTCCTTAATCTATGAACAGCTAAAAAATATTATTAACGCTGACCGGGAATCCCATACTCATGTTTCTGTGGTGATTAGTTTTTGTCGACATTGTGGAGATGATATTGCTGGACTTGTACCAAGGAAAGTAAAGAGTGCCGCAGAGAAGTTTAATTTGAGTTTTCCTCCTAGTGAGATCATTAGTCCAGAGAAACAGCAACCTTTCCAGAATCTTTTAAAAGAATACTTTACGTCTTTGACCAAACACCTGAAAAGGGACCACAGGGAGCTACAGAATACTGAGAGACAAAACAGGTGATTTTCAAATGTTTCTCAGATTTGAGAGTTTATTTTGGAGCTCATACTTAAAAAATTTTAGAGTCTTCATGCCACTGAAAGAACTTGTGGGAAAGGGCTCGTTGCAGGTGATTTCTTAACCTCTAGGAAAACTTCAGAGTGTAACTGTCTAAGCACTCATGTTTGATGTGAGTCTACAATAGATTTTGTTTCTGATTTTAAAAGAAACCTGGCAAGTGGCTGGTGATTTCTGCCTTGTGCATCTGTTTTCTTCCTGTGACTTAAAAACTCCTTAATGTTGAGGGATAAATTTTCTGTCACTTTAACTTATTTGCTATTATTTTTCTGTGTGTTTTGCTGATCCCTCTCTATAACAGGTTTGCTTTTATAGTTTTGTGTTTCAGTTTATTGATGTTGCTGTTTGATACTTTTTAAGAAAACAAGTCATTGATTATCGGTGGTATTTTAGATCAGAAATTTGGGGAATAGTGTACAAAGTGAAAAATTTTTTAAATGCAACTATGTGAAGTGCATTTACCAAAGTCTGTCTCCTGGGGATGTCCATTCAAAATTCTAAAGGAGTAACATATGTGCCTGTGGTGAAGACACCTGATTTAGGCCACCTTTGTTTGTCTGGTACTGTAGACTACTTGTGTAGCACCTGTACCTAGAAGGCATCAGCAAGCTAGAAGGTGATGCACTTTGTGGGTAAAAGGTCAGCTTTTATGGAGGGTTGGATTTGGAGGAGGGTTGGCGGGGTACAGAAAGGCAGTAGCAGTACCCTTTGGCTGAGTACTTTGCAACTATTTAAAGCGCATGTTTTGGGGGAATACACTTCTTCCTATAAGCCTGTGGTT